TCATGAACACTGTGAAGTTGATGGGTAAGCAAAGGTATAGATATATCAAATGCTTAAGACATAGAAGATTAAAATATACTATCAGGTGGTTCTTATTTCTAATAAATTATTGTAAAAAGTGTAAGCATCTAGTATTAAATAATTCATTTAGTGGAGCACAATAGCAATATCAGCCTTGAGAGTTAAACACTGGGTCACCTGATGTCATCCTACAGAAGGGAAATCACAGAATGGTTGATTTTATAATATCACTAAAAAGAGAAAGATCCTTAATGTTCACCTTTCCTTACTTTAGGCTTCACAGGAAAACTATAACTTTTTCTATAACTACATAGAAAAAGTTATAATTCCAATGTCTATTTATTATACCATCATTTCTCTCAGAAGCACAAACATTTCATAGTTGTTAATGCATCCATCATATGACATTCTTGCAAGAAACAAAAAAACCTTAGAGATCTATTTTACAAACTTAAAATGAAAGTTTAAAGGTAACGAGTAAATACCATAAGCAAAGCTGGAAATATTTGGCCACTAAATTTCTGTCTCATGTTGAAGTCCTTTATAATCATCAGCACCAAGTTCAGATTTCTATAATTACATATTTGGAGGGTGTTATAATCTCCTTAGCTGTAACTATTTCCAGTATTCTGGATTGAATTAAATATAAGACAAAGGCAACACAGGTATCTTTTTAACAAGCATAAAGTGTTTGTGGCCTAAAGCTGAAGATTTCTTTTTCTTTTTTTTTTTTTAAAGATGACCAGTAAGGGGATCTTAATCCTTGACTTGATGTTGTCAGCACCACGCTCTCCCAAGTAAGCTAACCGGCCATCCCTATATAGGGATCCGAACCCGTGGCCTTGGCGTTATCAGCACCACACTCTCCCCAGTGAGCCACAGGCCCACCCTAAAGATGAAGATTTCTAACTTTGGTGAAGTGGCACTCTACTCTTTGATTTTGTAAGATCACGCTCTACCTCAAGTTGTCACTGGTTAACTGCATCTAATCTGCAGTCAACTGTAAGATAAAGCACTCATTTTAAGGGCTACTAGGAAAGAAAATGCTCACAATTAAACTATGTCATGTTTTTGTATGCTTAATGGTTAAGACTCATCCTGATTTCAAAAATGCTAAAATGTAAGGAAATGTGCATCTTAAAATCAATCATATATGACATATGGAAACCGTTGCTCTTCTAATTAAAATGAATTAAAAGGAGCACTGCTTTGAGAAAATTAAGCTACTCAAATATCCTAAGGACACAACAGAGGTTAGGAGTCGGTCTTTGATATAGTCCACCTTCGGGGTGCTTTTAACAACTTAAACAAGCCCCTAAACTTTTCAATAGTACCTAGCAAAATCAAGGTGCCAGATACTTCCACTGCACTCAAAGTCAATAGCCACCCCAAAACAGTGCAATCACAAGGCTCTGAAACTGTCTTATTCTCCCCCTTGAGACACTAACAGTTACAATTCAATGTTGCATTGTTAGAGATGAAACTAAACAGCCAGCCAGCCTTCAATATCTCACCTCCCCTCCTGCTCAGTAAAACCCTGTCATTTGTCCTAATGCACTTGGAGCAGAAAAAGCATGAAACAACTTTTTCCCCTTTGGAAATGGTTGGAAATAAAATTCCAAGGAAAAATTTAAGTCAGAGAAATACGTTCATAAGCACAGAGGAATTTTGCCCTTCATGAGCAATCCTGGATAGGGCGGCACTGAGAGTGAAGTCTTAGAAACAACAACAAAACCAACAGACAACAATGTGTAGCAGAAGAAAGTGATCCCCTTGTCTTCCCCATGACGGCAGCATTCTCAGTTCTAAGGCTCAAGCTGAATAACTGCTTTCAGGAGGACCAAGCAGAATGTCCTTTTCCTCCAGTTTTAACTACATCCAAACAATGTAACTCTTGTTGGAACACAAGCATTCGTAAGATACTGGGAAAACTCCCTCTGACCCTCCCACTCTGTGAGAGCATCTATAATCTGTTCCTCTGTTATCTATTTCTAATGACTTGGGATACATTTGTTTGGCAACTAGATCCACCCCAGTAGTAAACATAAAAGTACATCAGAATGTTCTTTCAAAATTCATATTCTTCAAACTATCAGATGGAACTTCTAAAGTCAAACTTGAAAGCCATCAAATCAGGATCATAAGTGGCAATGCATTCATATTTGCCTAAATGTATTCTCATATCCCTACATGATTTACTTTTGAGAAGAGTTCCCTTATAAATTCACTGTCATAAACAACTGGCTTAGAGATACAGGCAGTTGTCATTTTTACTAAGGAAGATACTTTTCGAGGGGAAAAGCCCACGACCTAAAGAATTTAAAAATATTCTTTCCTTCAAACATACAACCAGGCAGAAACATTTTCCACCCCTTCAAACCTGTGTCCCCAAGAGGAAAAAGGCTTACGTGTTCAGACTTCTCCTGCTCTTTTTTATCCGTCTGCAAAAACTGACAGTTTTCTCTTGCCAGCTTCTGGACCAGTTCAATTCGTCCGATATCATCTCTCTCTTGAAGCTTGCACATCACCCCTGCCTTAAGAGTTGGAGAAAAAGCGAAGATATACTTAAATCCACAGTCCCAGGACATGACACCACTGCAAATTTCACCTTATAATAAGCTCATTTTTTCTGACTCCTGTATTAAATCATGGTCTTGGTAAAATATTTTGCCTTTCCAAAATTGAAATTAAAGTATTTTAATCTAGAAATGCCATGCCAAAAGACTGAAAGTTGATATTGTGTATCAGTCTACTTTAAGACAGTGAAGGGCAGAGCAAACTAAATCATTTGCTGCTAAGTGTGAGCCTGATATGCCACTATTTGTTTGTTCCTGACAGCCTGTTTCCTGTTACATAAGCAAAGCCTAGCAAAAGGTTAAAAACTCATGGGAAAGTTAGCCAGCAACCACTCTGGCAAAAAGGGTGAAGTGATACAGAGTCCTAAAAATAACACTACACAACCTCCCAATTCTTTAGCTCCACCAGATCATTCCATATACACATATACACAGTTAACAAGATCACAAAGTACTTTTATTTTACAACTGGAAAAATATCCCTAATGCTGCATGAAAAACGGTGAAATTTTTTATTAAAAATAATGGGGAAAAAGAAAGCTTAAAATTTCATTCATCAGGGTTTGGCAACTATACATAAAGCATCATATTTTTTATTAGGTCAAATCACCTAAGTAGTAACAATATGAGGAGGTAAGCAAATCTAGAACTTTAGAATAGAAAAAAATACGTTCATTCTTACACACAAATTAGGAACTGTTTCTGCTCAAATTCTTTCCAAAATGGTTCATACTGACATACCAAGACATGATCTAATAAAGAAATCTGAAGTTATACTTGGCAGGAACAATCAAAACTATGGAATCTTTGTTTTACCCAGCACAACCTACAGGATTTGAATGTACTTAGTAACTTGACCAAATATGGGGAAAGGGCCAGCAAGTGACCCAAAACTTCACAGTCTTACAAGTTTGTGCTAAAGATACTCATGCTGGGTGGGCAGAGAAATGGAACCATCCAGGCAAAACAACGACTAAATATTTACTCCCGTGGGCAGTGACATCTCTTTATCTAGCAGTTCCTCCAACTAGGAAGGAAACAAACAAAAAAATCCTTGAAGCAGCCCAAATCGCAGACTCCCAGAGGACAAGTGGAATTCCTCCACCAAAAGATTTATTTTCTTATTTTTAAAATGTTTTTCATCTTACATGTTTATGGAGTACAGCTTGTTGTCAGAAGATTTATTTTTACAACATCCTTCACAAGTGGTTTTCCCATTCCTTTTTAGTTTCCTTAGACAAAGATCTCAGTTTATCATAAGAAAGTCCGTATACTGTTGAACAGCCAGAATTGTTGGAAAGTCACTTATCACACTCGACAAAACTCTAAAACCATTCAACTTCAACCCATGAGTACTAGATTTGCCTTTTAAAGCAACTTCAACTAGGCCTATTCCTTATCCAATATGACAATCTTTCAAATATTTAAATACAAATATTTATTATATCCTCCTTTTAGTATTCCCCATATATATATACATATATATATGTATATATATATGTATATATATATTCATACACCTAGTTCCCTAAATTATTTCATTCATTCATTCATTCATTCACTCAACAGATTTTATATGAGCAGTGATGTACTATAGGTTCTGGGGACACAGCAGTGAATAACAAGAATGACATCTCACATCACAAAGGATGTAGACTATATAACATCTAGGTATAAAATATCAGGAGTAATATATGATAGGAAGGAAAATAAAGTAGGGTATGGGGACAGATACATTATTGGAGGTATTATTAAGATGGAAATGTCAGGGAAGGATTCTCTAGTAAGATGACAGTTGAGTGGGAACCTAAAGGAAGTAAAGATGGGGTGATGTTGATGTCCAGGGGAAGCACGTTGCAGACAGACAGCAAGTGCAGGGGCCCTGAGGCTTGGGTGCATCTGGCATGTTCAAGGACAAGCAATGAGAACAGCATGGCTGGAACGGAGCTGGCAAGGAAGATACCGGTAGGACTGGTCAGAGAAGTGATACAGGACCAGATCATGTAGTTTCCATACACAGGCTGTGCAAGGAGTTTGGATTCTTTTTCTGAATGAGATAAAATCCTTTGGAAGGTTTGAACAGAGGATTGGCATAATCTGACTTACATTTCACCAGGATCATTCTGTGCTCTGGGTTAGATGGGAGGCATAGGTGAAGTTAGAAGACCAGTGCGGAGACTGGTTTTCATGCAAGAGTTGGCTTGGAATGCGTAGTAGAGGTGGAGATGGTAAGGAATGGTTAGAAACTGGATATATTTCAAAACTAGGACCAGCGGATTATGTTGTTTGGTAGTCTCCAAAATATTTGACCTGAGCAGCTGGAAGGATAGAGTTGTCATTTACTGAGATTGGAAAGACATCCAAGTGGAGTTGGTGGGTTGGCAGCCTGGAGGTTTGGGGGAGAAGTCCAAGCAGGAGATACAAATTCAGGATTAATCAGAGTATAGATAGTATCCCTCTGGTTTTACCAGTGGAGTGATGGAAATCCAGGAACTGAGTCTAATGTTGAGATATTGGGAAAGTGAGGAGTTAATCAGAAAAGGAGACTAAAGAGGAGTGGCTCCAGGAGAAGAATCTGGAGAGCAGTGAAGGTGTTTCCAAGAGGAGAAGCGAAAAACCATGAATAACTGCTGAAACATCGAGTAAGAGGGCTCAAAATAACTGACACTGAATTTGACAAAAGTAATTGGTGACTTCAACTAGAGCAATTTCATTCTGAAATGGTAAGGACAAAAGCTTTATTAGCACAGGTTCAACAGAGACTGGGAGACAACTCTTCTGAGGAGCTGGGTGACGAGGACCGGGACACCAGCTGAAGAGTGCCGTTGTTGGGAGTTTTGCTTGCTGATCTCATGATGAGGGATGTTCCAGCACATTTATGCGTATTGAAATCACCCAGTAGAGAGGGAAATGTGATGATGCAGGAGGGAGGCAGGGCATCTTCAAGAGTGATGTCCTTGAGTAGGAAAGAGAGGATAAAGATCTACCCCAGACAGAAATACGAACATGCATATTTCCTCTGGAACAGGAGAGTAAACACACAGGGAGGTTTGCACATTTGGTGGTAGAAACACGTGTAAATTCTTTCTGAAGGCTTCTATTTCCCAGAAAAATGAGAAGTCAAGTTATTAGCTGAGAGTAAGGATTGTAGGGAGAAGATGCTGGAGGTACAAGAAAAGAAGACACACAACAGTCATTTAAGTTGCGAGTGTTGGCTATTTTTGTAAAGGGCCAGACAGTAAATATTCTAGGCTTCATGGGCCATGGGATCTGTGCGTCAACTACTCGATTCTGCAGTCAGCAGGAAACGATACGTTTGATACGTAAACGAATGAGCACAGCTATGTTCCAGTAACACTTTATTTACAAAAACAGGCGGCAGTCAACTCCTGGCCTAAGAGAAGAGGAAACTGCACAAGGGAAGTGGTGTAAGACTGTCAAGCATGAGGACTCACTCCATTTTATTTTTAGATCCTTCCACTATCCTAGCCATTCTCCTCAGGGAATCCTTCTGTTTGTCAGGATTTTAATGGAGCCCACAACCTGAGACAATGCTAAATATATGGGCGGATCATGAAATGCTCTTTTAATCAATACTAGAGAAAGTAAAACAGGTTTAAGGGTTTTAAGTATCCTCCTTTCAACTGGGAAGGCAAGGAAACTACGGTGATTTCTGCTCATGAATGATAAATATTCTTAAATTATTTTGACACTTAAAGGAATTCATTTATGTTGACCACTTAGGCTTTCTTCTGTCTCCTTCCATTTCACCCTCGCAGTGTTTAATGTACTATCCCGCTGGTGGACAGAGGATGCTAATGACCCTCCCACCTCGGAACCTACTCTGTGCTTTATTCAGTAGTGGGATGGATTAGCCCTGACCTCTCTCTGCTCCCCAGTGGCCCCCTGTATGCAGAGGGTATGTGTTGCCCAGGTGGGGGTGAGCTGGTGGGGTACCCAGGTGAGAGCAGTATGGAGCCTGTTACCCCCTCTCACCAGCACAGGCTCCAAAGTCCCCACAGTCTCTGATTTGGAGACAAGAGTCTTTTCCTTTTCTCTGTGGGTCCTATAGATATAGATATAGATATACATTTTAAACAGCTGATAAGCATCAGCAATAAAAAAATTAAGTGAAGGAAATTTAAGAGGTCATAATTATTTGGTTTTGGTCTCTACGTGAACATGATTTTTAAGGAACTCTAAACATTCTTCATTCAGCATCATATAATTAGGATCCTAAATACAGACTTTTCTTTTAGGAGGAAACATTTTTATTAGAACCATGTACTTGGATACACAAATCAAATGTGGTGATTTTTTACAGGGGGGTGGGGGGAGCACTGGCTGGTGATCTGAACCCTTAACCCCGGTGCTTGGTATTATGAGCACTGCATTCTAACCGAGAGAGCTAACCACCCAGCCCTCATATATGTACTTTAAACACATAATGCTATTTTTAAAAATAGGTTCCCGACTAACAATTATTTTTTTTACTTCACATCTTATTATTAAAGAAGGAATATAGCAGTCTTGATTTTCTGGTTTCTGCATAATGTCTACATGCATTTTTCACAAGATAATCACTTCTGTAGAACTCCTTATATATTTAAAAAGGCTTAAAAAGGATTAATAGTTTAAAAACTATTTAAAAAGGCTTTCAAGGAGGGTTATGAATGCTTCCTCATTCCCTGGAGAGAACTTTAAGCTCAGAGAGACGCCCATACATCCTAGCTGGTTTATAAGGCAGTGATCTTTTGGAAGCACCATGCTAAACCAGATGTTCTCTGGGGGTGCCTGTCACAGCTCCATAATTTAGTGATTTAATTCAAGAAACCCATGAATTTATTAATATATTTTGGGAGCTTTGTTATGGCAGGAGGAGCAAGATAACTAACAGCCCTTGATCTAGACTTTCACATTTTTGATCTACTTAATTTATCTATGTGAAATTAATTGCA